ACCTAGAAACAAAATTCATAAAGTAAAACCGTAGCAAAACAAAGATTCAGGCAGAAAGATGTTCATGATAACACTGGAAAACAGTAAGATCAAATGAAAACAGAAAGAATGATTACATAAATCATGCCAATACCTTCAATAAAATCCTGTTCCTCTATTACAAAGAAGGGATAGATATAGATGTACTGTCATGAGAGGATAATATATTGCTAAGGTAGAAAAAGTAAATTGCAAAACATTATACATGATATAAACACATTGTTTGGAAAAATATATATGCATAGAAAAGTAGTACATGTATAGAAAAGAAAAGTGGTAGAAGATCTGTTGATAGTATGTCCTCAGGAGGTGGAAAATGGGGGACTTACACATTTTACAAATTGTATGTCTATAGAGTTTGAACTTTATATAATGTACCTATATAGTTTTTCTAATTAACTCTTCAGACGGGGGAACGGGTAAAACTGTGAAGAAGGAATCATCCGAAACACTCTCCCACTAACTTTTTTCTCTTGCTCTTTTAGTGGGTAATGTTTTGGAATATTAACCATAAGTTTTCGATTCAGTAACGTCCCTCATTCAATCTTTTATTTTTTGGTCTCAGGGAAGACAGAGCAATACTTAAACCTACTAAGACAATGGCCAGTTCTTTCAGTTGACCCTTTCCAGGGTAAAACAATGGATTGGAAATAATGCACAATAAGGAAATGCCGAAGTCCAGCTGCTCAGCATCATCCCATCCCTTTCACTGTTCCCAAAATAGATTTGGGGGATCTTATTTATAGCAGAAGAGTTCTGACTCCAAAAGAGTCTGGCCAGGAACAAATGCACATCAACATCCTGGTCCTAAATGTGTAACACCCTCCACCCTTATCCCTGATAACTTGGATGCAGTCCTTGTTAGGGAAAGGAGGGTTGGGAGGAGCGTGAACCTAAAATGCCTGAAAATTATTAGGGCAACCTGCCAAACTGTAGTTGCAAAAGAACAATTAGTTATTGAAAATTAAGCAATTACATGGTTCATAGCCCTGAATTATTAGAATTAAATTTATACTATTTAATTTCAGCTCCTTTTCTAAAAACCACTGAACTGCTTTAACTGAGACATTGTAATTTTCTTAATTATACTTAAATATATGTTTCTTTTCTTTTAAACTTTCTGCCTACTTTGCACAAAATGAGGTAGCCAAGACAGTCTTAAAGTTCTCCTCGGCTTGACTTGAAAAGGCTTTTTCCTGACTCTAGGCCCAAAACTCTCTTTTCTTAGAGCATGATATGGTTTGACTCTGTGTCTACACCCAAATCTCATCTTGTAGCTCCCATAATTCCCACGTGTTATGGGAGGGTCCCTGTTGGTGATGACTGAATCACGGAGATGGGTCGTTCCTGTGCTGTTCTCATGAGAGTAAGTCTTATAAGATCCAACGGTTTTAAAATGGGGAGTTTCCCTGCACAAGCTTTCCCCTTTTGTCTGCTGCCATGTGAGATTTACCTTTCGCCTTCTGCCACGATTGTGAGGCCTCCCCAGCCACGTGGAACTATAAGTCCAATAAACCTCTTTCTTTTGTAAATTGCCCCGTCTTGGGTATGTCTTTATCATCAGTGTGAAAATGGACTAATACAGTAAATTGGTACCAGCATAGGGGGACACTGCTGAAAAGATACCAGAAAATGTGGAAGCAACTTTGGAACTGCATTGGAGGGCTCAGAAGAAGACAGGAAAATGCGGGAAAGTTTGGAACTCCCTAGAGACTTGTTGAATGGCTTTGACAAAAATGCTGACAGTGATATGAACAGTAAGGTATAGACTGAGGTGGTCTCAGATGGAGATGAGGAACTTGTTGGGAACTGGAGCAAAGGTGATTCTTGTTATGTTTTAGCAAAGAGATTGGTGGTATTTTGCCCCTTCCCTAGAGATCTGTGGAACTTTGAAATTGAGAGAGATGATTTACGGTATCTGGTGGAAGAAATTTCTAAGAAGCAAAGCATTCAAGAGGTAACCCGGGTGCTGTTAAAGGCATTCAGTTTCAAAAGGGAAACACAATAAAAGTGTGAAAAATTTGCTGCCTGAAAATGCAATAGAAAAGAAAATCCCATTTTCTGAGCAGAAATTCAAGCTGGCTGCAGAAATTTGCATAAGTAACAAGGAGCTGAGTGTTAGTCACCAAGACAATGGGGAAAATGTCTCTATGGCATGTCAGAGACCTTCATGGCAGCCCCTCCCATCATAGGCCCAGAGGCCTAGGAGGAAAAAGTGGTTTCATGGGCTGGACCCAGGTTACCCGTGCTATGTGCAGCCTAGAAACTTGGTGCCCTGTATCCCAACTGCTCCAGCCATGGATGAAAGGGGCCAATGTAGAGCTTGAGTCGTGGCTTCAGAGGGTGCAGGCCTCAAGCCTTGGCAGCATTCATGTAGTGTTGAGCCTGTGAGTCCACAGAAGTCAAGAATTGAGGTTTGGGAACCTCTGCCTAGATTTCAGATGTATGGAAACTCCTGGATGCCCAGGCATAATTGTGCTATAGGAGTGGGACCCTCATGGAGAGCTTCTGCTAGGGCAGTACAGAACAGAAATGTGGGGTTGGAGCCCCCCACATAGAGTCCCTACTGGGGCACTGGCCTAGTGGAGCTGTGAGAAGAGGGCCACCATCCTCTAGACCCCAGAATAGTAGACCCACTGACAACTTGCACCGTGTGCCTGGAAAAGCCGCACTCAATGCTAGCCCATGAAGGCAACCAGGATGGGGGCTGTACCCTGCAAAGCCACAGAGGCACAGCTACCCAACGCCATGGGAACCCGCCTTTTGTATCTGCATGACCTGGATGTGAGACGTGAAGTCAAAGGAGATCAGTTTGGAGCTTTAGGGTTTGACTGCCTTGCTGGATTTTGGACTTGTATGGGGCCTGTAGCCCCCTTTTTTGGCCAATTTCTCCCATTTAGAATGGCTGTATTTACCCAATGCCTGTACCCCCATTGTATCTAGGAAGTAACTAATTTGCTTTTGATTTAACAAGCTCATAAGCAGAAGGGACTTGCCTTGTCTCAGATGAGACTGTAGACTGTGAACTTCTGAGTTAATGCGGAAATGAGGTGAGATTTTGAGGGACTATTGGGAAGGCATGATTGGTTTTGAAATGTGAAGATACCGGATTTGGGAGGGGCCAGGGGCAGAATGATATGGTTTGGCTCTGTGTCCCCACCCAAATCTCATCTTGTAGCTCCCACAATTCCTGTGTGTTGTGGCAGGAACCCTGTGGGAGATGACTGAATCATGGGGAAGGGTCTTTCCCACGCTGTTCTCATGATAGTGAATAAGTCTCATGAGATCCGATGGTTTTAAAAAGGGGAGGTTCCCTGCACAAGCTCTCTTGTCTGCCACCATGTGAGATGTAACTTTCACCTTCCATCACGATTGTGAGGCCTCCCCAGCCACGTGGAACCGTAAGTCCAATAAACCTCTTTCTTTTGTAAATTGCCCAGTTTTGGGTATGTCTTTATCAGCAGCGTGAAAACGGACTAATACAGAGCATTTTCTTTAGAAAGCTTTTCACTGTAAATCATTTCTCTGTCTTGAGATATACGTAATTCTTTTTAATAGCATCTTACTAGTTTTACAAACCAGAATAATCTTTGTCAAGGACCTGGGAGCCATTCCTTTGAAATGCAATCATCAAGGAAGACAGTCCCCCTATCTCCCAGTTTCTATGGGAGGGTAGGAGCATAATTTCCCTGAGAGCCAATTAGCAAACACAGCTGGCCTAATCACGGAGGAAACCTTTGTAAACTCAGCAAACAACTCAGTATGCTTCCTACAGCCCTCCAGCCCCTTTCTACTCTCATCCTAAAGCTTAAAAAACCCTGCCCGACTTTGTTTCAGAGTTAGTTTAGACTGAGTTCTGGTCTCCCTTCCCTAGGACAACATCTTTGCCTAAAGTATTCTTTGCATATGTGACTTTCTCTGGTGGAATGTATGCTTTGACAAAGGAAAACTAAGACAAATTAAACTACTTATCATCACTGAACTTCCACAGCCCCTGCTATTTATGCAACACTTAACATGTTCTTGCAATGTAAGTATCAGGACCGCCCTCTGGGTTGGATACAATAGCATCCTTTCCTCTTACAGTTATTTTCAGATACAAGCCTTAGGAAATGGAGGCTTAGAGAAACCAAGCAATTTGCCATAGGTCACAGCAAATAAATTCTGGACTAGTGAGGACTAGGGACAAGGCATTTGCCTTCAAAGTCAGTGCGTTCAAGCACTTTGCATAGCCAATATAAAATTCCAAACAGTGCTTCTATTTGATTTGATTATGTGTATGTGTGTGTGTGTGGTGGGGGGGAGGGGGGTATGAGGAAGTCTCTAGAGATTTATGTCCGTGAGTTTTGTTTGGGGGGTCGCCCTTTTGGGCTCTGCGCGCCCGCCTCCAGTGCGTCAAGGAACAGCGGCCAGCACAGGGGACGCCCGCAGGAGGAGGACTGGCCGGGACTCCTGGGCACTCACCGCTCAGGCCTCGCCGCCGCCTCTGCCACTGAAGAGCGCGCGTCCACCGGGGCGGGGCTCCTCCCAACGCCCTCCCCAACCGCCAGCTGCCCGCGGGCAGGTCTGTAGCCTGGCCCTCGCGCGGACTCGGCTGGGAGCTGGCTGCACGAGGGCGGAGGGCGCGCAGTAAGTGGAGCGGTAGGAGTCAGCGGTGCCGGCCGCGGGAGGTACGGTTGAAGCAGTCGGCGGTGCGCGAGGGGAGCACGCAGGAGCCGCCTCAGTCCCTCCTCCGCACGTGCGCCCACGAGTGTAGTCCCCAGTTTGTTCCACCTGTTATCCCTCAGCTCCAGTGCGCCCACCTGCTGCCCCACCTGCCCAACGTTACTTCTTCCCTGCTTCCCCTACAGCCCGACAGGGGTCGGGGTCCTCACCCACCGCCCCACCCACCTCGTTCATGCACACACCCATCTCGTCCCATGCGCCCTGCCCTACGCCCCAAGTCCCTGAAAGGGCCCCACCTAGGTACCCTTTTGGATGCTCTTTAGGTTCTTCGCCTATCGACCCTCCTGGACGACCCCACAATCCTCCGCCTCTCGCGGGCTCCTCTCTCCGTCGTGTGCCATGGTCACCTTCAGCAGGCCCAGCCGCTGATGACAAGTTTAAGAAGATTCATGAGCCGCTGCTCCTCAGGGTCTACTGGCGTTTAGCAGACAACTTCCCAAAGGCTCGGGATCCTGCAAACACCTCATACGGGCCACTCAAAAGATGCCGTCCTGGGGCAGACCCCGCGCCAAGCGCGCTGTCCTCGCGTTCCCTTCTCCAGCTTGCGCAGCCCCTGCGGCTTCTGTCCCGGACGGTTCAGCGCGGGGGACGCTCCGCCCGCCCGCTTCATCTGCGCCCGCTGCCTTTACCCGCTTAGCCACCCCGGCGTTTCCACCTCCGTATATTTCTCATGCTCCCAAGTTCTATAATGCTTGCTCCTCTTGGCCCGCCCAACCCCAATTCTCGCGTCCAGTGTTTGTTTAGAATCGCAGGTTTTGATTCGATCACAGGCCAAATTCACTGTCCCCTGCGATGCCCGGTACGACTTGCTCCAGCTCCGAAGTTAAGCTTTTGTCAGGAGAGGGCGCTAGAGGAACACTGCAGGACAAGGAGTTCTCTTCCTAGTTGGGGAAAAATCCAGGACTATATAGAACATCCTCCGCCCCAAACTGGGAAGGAGCCAGCAGACCAAAGAATGACTCAGACCAGTCCAGCTTGACGAGTACATGAGTTGATTAGGACTCACGTATAGGCCATTTCTTTTCTTTTTTTCTCTTTTTTTTTTTTTTTGAGAGGGAATCTCATGGCACCTCGTTTTCATCGTCACTGGATGCTTTCTCTGGGTTAGCAAGGGTCAAGAAGACTTGTTCCGATGTGATCTGACTGACGGAATAGTCTATTAAATCAAATTGCTCTTTAGCTTCCTCCAAAATGCCAAACACCGTTAACAACAGCAACAAAAACGCGGTTACCATTGCAATCTCCCCTTCAGCCCCCAACTCAGATGAGCCTCTTCCACTCCCCGATTCCTATTAAGCGTATGTTGGAGGACAAAAGGCACAGAAGGGGGAGGTGAGAAGGCGGAAGAACAGAGAATTGAGAAGGTGAGAGGAGGCCATTCTCTGTTCCCATTCTCTTGATGGACATGGACTAATAGTCAGATTTAGGGGAAGAAATCAAGGCAATTAAACTCTAGGGGTATTTGGAAAGTAACCTAACGCTGCTGCTCCTCCCAGCAATGCCAGGCTCCCATTCCTAATGCCCGAATCCCAAATACTCCCCACCCTTAGTGCTCTCTTAACATGCAGTGTTACAAGGGCAAGATTTCGACCATCACCTTTCCCCAGTCCTTGCTGGGAATGTAGCAGTTAAGGACTCCTTGGTTCTCGTGTTTTAAGACACTACCTAAGAAAGGATAATAGGACAAGTGAATAATCTTACAGACTTCATTTGAAATCGCCAAAATATTGCTCTATTTACTTAATTATATACTTGGAGGGGTGGATAAAGGAGGTTAATACAAAAGGAGATATGACCTGCTAACCCAATCTCTTTGGTATCCATGATATAGTTAATGGTTTTGGCAGATTTATTCCTCATGAACTAGTCTTATTATGTGGATTGAGGATACAAATACTAGCCAGTTCACCTGCCCAATGTAAAACACCTGAGCCTTCTAAAAGTGTAATGTGGTCAGGTTCAGTGGCTCACGCCTGTAATCTCAGCACTTCGGGAGGCCAAGGCGAGCGGATCACCTGAGGTCAGGAGTTTGGGACCAGTCTCGCCAACATGGTGAAACCCTGTCTCTACTAAAAATAGAAAAATTAGCTGAGCATGGTGGTGCACGCCTTTAATGCAAGCTACTTGGCAGGCTGAGACAGGAGAATCGCTTGAACCCAGGAAGCGGAGGTTGCAGTGAGCCGAGATCACGCCACTGAACTCCAGCCTGGGTGACAGAGTGAGACTCTGTCTCAAAAAGTAAAAAATAAAATTTAAAAAAACCTAACTAAAAGCCTAATGTTACTACGAGACTTTATTCCTAAATGCAGTGCTGAGAATCTGAACTGGGATGTTTTCCTCCCCGGCGGTGTGTGGGCATGTACAGTGTGTTTGGTGGGGAGGACAACAGGAATAATCACAATAAGAACAAGATTAATAACAATCAGGATTAATCATAATACGAATAATCACAGTACGAATAGCCTCACACTATTCTTGTAATTATACAACCCCATGCCATGTGGAACAGGAAATCACGTATAAATCACCAAAGTCAGACCACTTGTTCTAGTTTCTTAACAGGTGAGTAACGATCCACAGGTGGAGTAGGAGGAAAAAGGGTGGTGTCTATTCCTAATTTAGAATAAACATTTGTATTTACACTTTTATTGCATATTTGTAGATTATAGCAAATGAAATTAACTGGGATTATAAATGTTACAAAAACACATGTTTGTCACGGTGTGGGATTTTTCTTAATGTTAGTCGTAAAGCATGTATTGCCTTCATGATCACACGAATAAATATGAAATATTTCAAACATCGAGCTGAATGAATTATTTAAAGCAAATACACACAAAACCACCCTATCCAGGTCAAGTAATAATAACCCATACATTCCCATGTGCTACTTCCCAGCTTCTGTCCTCTATAAAAAGTAGCCATTGCTTTTATTGTTATTTGAGCAGTTCCCTAGAAGTTCTCTTTTTATCTTTTTATCTACACATGCACCTCTAAAATTGTGATTTGGATTTTTCTACTTTAGAACTTTATATGAATGGAATCATCCAGTATTCATTCTTTTCTTTCTGCTTCACTCAATAGTATGTTTGTAAACTTCACTCATGTTGCATGTAATTATAATTCATCATTTTCCTTTCTGCACAGTAATCTGGTATATGAATGTTGTATATTTTCCATTTGTTTACTAATAGACATGGGTTGTTTTTAGTGTTTGTTGACTCTTGTGAATATCACTTATTTGAATATTATTTTATGTATCTCTTGGCACAAGTGGATGCAAGTATCTCAGGTATATACCTAAAGGTAGAATTTTTGGGTCATTGCTTTTTGTAAAACTGGTTATGCCAACTTTAGCTTTCCCTCGGAGGTACACAGAACTGGTGAGTGTCCTCTTCACATAAGAAAAGCCTGGACAAACTGCAAGTTAATAGCTTTTATTTAACCTATCAGTTCTCTGATTGGGCAAATACTGGACAAACACCTAACCCAACATCAGGGGAGAGACAGGTGCCTACAGGGAGCAACAGGACAAGAGCACCTACTTACACCAGGCAGACACTGCTGAATGCCATATCAATTGGTAAGAAGATTTAAACATTTTTTAATGCATTGCTAAAGGCCAAGTATTGGTCTATCATGAGAACACAAAGATCATTCTTTTATTTTTAACCTCTGTGATACAGTTTGCTTTAGTTGTGTACGGCAGAGAGTTGGATTTTGCTTTTTAGCCACTCTGAAAAATATTTTTTTCATCTAGTCAGAGAATTAAGGCTTTCTATGTTTATTGAGAGGACCAATATGTGCTACAGAAGTTCTCCCACACTGTTCTATAATTACATGTCAATGGAAATACACATATCTACATACATGCATGAGTAAAGACTCACACGTGACACATATCCCCACTCTGGTTGATTCTATTTATTGTTATATTCATGATACAGAAACATTTATGCATTTAAAAAATATGTATAATTGTTATATTTTATCACACAGATACCTTTCATTTAGCCCAAATTTTAGAGGCACATATAGTCGATGCCCACCATTAATTCTTATGCACAAGCTCTGCCAATCAATTTTTAGTTAATGGGAATTTTTTCATTTGTATGTTTTTCAGGAAGAGCTAATGGAAACAATATTCCTTGTGTTCATGAGTCTTTGTGACTTTTTTTTTTTTAATAGAGTTTTGCTCTCATTGCCCAGGCTGGAGTGCAATAGTATGATCTCGGCTCACTGTAACCTCCGCCTCCTGGATTGAAGTGATGCTCCTGCCTCAGCCTCCTGAGTAGCTGGGACTACATGCATGCACCACCATGCCTGGCTAATTTTGTGTACTATTAGTAGAGACGGGGTTTCACCATGTTGGCCAGGCTGGTCTCAAACTCCTGACCTCAGGTGAT